ATCGTCTCTCCCTAACAACTTTAAGAGTCTAATCAGAGGAGGTGCTTCACTGGTGCCAGCAAGAGCCAGCATTTCCAAGCAATGTGTCTTTCTTTGCATAGGAAACTGGTAGATCAGCCCACCCTCATATTGTGGCAGGGAATTAACCCCTGCTTAATGACAGGGTAGAAACATATTTGTACCTGTTTGGTGGAGGGGAGCACATACTAAACTATATCAGATTAAAGGAAGGGGGAAAATCTATCCCATTGAGTTCAAAGAAATTAAATTGGATACTGGCTTAGAGGGAATCTAAAGTATCTCTACTGCTAACCATGGTGCTGGGAGCCAAAATGATTTTGTCTTCATCTCTGGAATTTGTCACTGGAACCTAGGAATTAAACGTTTGTTTATGCATTTAGGATATGAATCAATGTACAAATGCAAGAAGTCTTCAGGTGCAAGAAACAAAAATATTCAGTTAAGACTGCAAAATGATTCCCAGGTCTTTAACTGAACTGTTGTTTTTTTTCTTAATACACACATGCGGTCTCCCTGAGCAAGCAATGATTCCTAATATCAATCCCTCATTTCTAGATAAGATAATGAGCAATAAGGTCTGTGCAAAGAACCGAATGCCTCTACCAAGCTTTTAGTACACTCTTCCCTTCTGTGCAATCTGATTGTGTACAGAGTACTGTAACTTGTGATTAACTATGATTTTTTTTTGGGGGGGGGGATCCTCAATATTCAGAATTGGAATTCTACAAGAAATGATAAAGTAACCAGATAGGTTAATTTGTATTAACTTGGTTCACATAGCACTAAACTGGAATCTGATTAGCCACATTTTTCCCCCCACCGTGTTTGTAGTAGGGAAAAAATGGGGTTAATCAGATTCCAATTTAGTGTGTTGTATGAACTAAGATTAACACAAGGCTCTTCTTGGCCTGTTTAGATCAGAAACATTTCCATAAGAACTGCACCAATCTTATTCCCACTACTTCAAATATTCCAGGGCATGCTGATAGCCCAGATACTGCATGGGGCTGAAATCTGGGGATGGGATGAGAAGGTTATTTTTCAATTGGAAGTAGTCTAATACATCTCCATAAGGAAGATCTTGGGGCTCCCCAAGGCACCTCCATAGCTATTTTAAGAATGGATGTGGGGTTATTCTCCATTGCCGTCAGAATACATCTTGCATTGCTGAGGCATTATGTGCCGAAAATGTTCAAGAATCTTTCTTGCCAAACTTTGCTTTCTCCATTACACAACTGAGAATCAATGGGCTGCATGTTTATCATCAGAGTCCTAAACGAGCTCTTGGAAAACAGAAAATATTAGGCTGTTTGACGTTTGCTGTAGTTATTAAGGTCCTGGCCTAGAAACCAGGAGATTGTGTGAGTTCTAGTCCCACCTTAGCCATGCAAATCTCTTAGGTGACTTTTGGGCCAGTAGGTCTCTTTCAGCCCAGCCTACCTCACTGGGTTGTTTTGTGGGGAAAAGAGGAGGAGGCAGGAGTATTATGCATATATGTATGCCACCTTTATTTACTTATAAAGTGACCTTTAGTTATGCCACGTTTAGCTATTTACAAAGCAATAAAAGCAGGATAAAAATCCAATAAGTAAATATCCTACTACAGCACAGATTTTAATCACTATAGCAAACATAGAAGCCTCTCTTAGTACAGGTGTGTCAAACTCACGTCACCGTGGTGGTGTCACGTGACACATCAGGACTTTTCCCCCTTTCGTTAAACCAGGTGTGGGCAACCTGTGACACATCCAGCCAGCAGGCCAGGAGTTTCACAGCCCTGGCCTAATACCTGGTTAATATTACCTACATCTCAATCAGAACATTTTTAATATCCATTTGCAGACTATGCCGTCAGATATCTTGAGCGGAGATTTTGTAAACACTCTGTTGAGCAGCGTTTCTGTCCCCAAGGTGTCAGTCAAGTGAAGGGCATTATTTCACTTTGTCTTCCACTGCCCCATTTACAATCAGATTTTGAATGCATTATAAATAGTAAGTGAATTCAAGGGCTTGGACTCATGGCTAAATCATTATGTTGCAGATATGTTTCTAACTTTGCTCAAGTTCTTAATGGGTGGTATCTCCCTTTGACCTCTTTGTAGCTAACATTCTTTATTTCATTTTGTTATATTGTATTTCATGCCATGTTACAATGCTATGATCCATAGTTACAACAAGAAATCTTATTCATTTTACTTGATTCCCAACCATGAATTAGGAAATTCTGCCAGACATCTATTTGAGATCCTGGCTTGGTACCATTGGTATCATTTTTCAACGCCTGCCAGCTCAGCTCTATCAAATACTTTAATAAAACATCACCACTTTACATAGCCGCAGTGGGGTGAAGGTGTTGGCCTAGGAGCAGGGTTCTAGTCCATTCTCAGCACCTTGGGGATAGTCACTCTCTCTCAGCCCAATCCACTGTACATGAAAGGCTTCTTATTATGCAGAAAAACAGGAGGAGTGGGCACTATATATCTGCCTATAAGTAATATATAAATAGCGGCCCTATAAATCTAATAAATACAAAATGTTCATTTTGTTCTTTAAATAATTTACTTTGTAAATGGTGACTGACCGTACCCACCGCTACTACACTGGCCCATTGTGAAGACAACTCTTAATTTCTTTCCCACAGAACTTGAGATCCCATCTCAAGGACAGCATATTCCTTTCCCAGCTACTCTCCTCTATGTTTTCTAACATGCAGATGTCCTCCTTCCTCCTCAATCAAAGCAGAGAAATATCTTGCAAGTGTGATTTTGTTTGCACACACTCACCTCACAATCCTTCCCTGTTCCTGAAATCCCTTCCTAGTCCTCCACCTGACCCCAAATTCCCTTAAAAGATATCTACCGAAGGAACTCCAGCTTCTCTCTCTGCACCCCTCCCTACTTGTTATTAATCTCTAAGTCAGGGGTCACCAATCTTTCAGACCTCAGGGACCACTAAATTCATAATTTTAAATTATAAAAAATGCAAATATTTTTCTGCGGACCACCAGAATTTTCTTGCGGACCACCAGTGGTCCATAGACCACCAATTGGTGACCGCTGCTCTAACCAGTCCAAAAGTTTCTCCTCCAGCATTCTTTCTTATTTTTTTTATCATTTCCCCCAAAGCTTCCATTGCAGATTGTAAATTCCTCGATGGCAGGGGATTTGAGATTTTTGCTTTTAAAATAGGAACTGTTAAGGTCTGCAGATTCAGCGAGGGGCCGCTATGACCATATCCCCAAAATAGATAATTATTCCCCTCCCCATCACCTTTCTACTTCCCTCCCCAAGCAATGATGTCACATTTCTCTTCCCAAGAACAGCACTTGAAAAGCTTCTTCTCTGATAATATTGTACTACTAACCAGAGCATACAAAACATTTGCTAGACCAATTCTCCAATACAGTTCATCTATCTGGAACCTGCACTGCATATCAGACATTAATACAATTGAGAGAGTCCAGAGATATTTCACAAAAGAAGTCCTCCATTCCTCTGCTTGCAACAGAATACCTTATGCCACTAGACTTGAAATTTTGGGCTTGCACAACTTAGAACTACACCACCTTCGATCTGACCTAAGCGTAGTACATAAAATTATCTACTACAATGTCCTACCTATCAATGACTACTTCAGCTTCAACCCCAACAATACATCCAAAGTCGACTGCAGAAAATGGGACTTCTGCAACACAGTGGTCAATGCCTGGAATCTGACTCTGTCTTTTTCCCCCCTAACCCCCAAAACTTTAACCTTAGACTATCTACTGTTGACCTCACCCCATTCCTAAGAGGGCTGTAAGGGGCGTGCATAAGCGTGCCTACCGTCCCTGTCTTAATGTTTCCTTTTATTCGTAACCATTTCCTGTATTCAAAACATGTTTATATTTTTATCTGTTATCTTATATAGGCTTGACAAAATAAATAAATAAATAAATAAACCAACAAGCTGCACCCGGGAAAGGAGCCATTCTACCTGGAGAGAAATCATGGTGTTCACCTTTCCAACCCCCACCCAATAAGGTATCCCCCCCCCATCAGAATGCCAGGGGGGAAAACCCGACCCCCGCCCTTCTATGAAGCCCATGCCCTACACAAGGGAGGAGCCATTCATCCTCCACCCCACCCCCAGCAATTCCTCAATGGGCGGAACCACACAGCCTGCCCCCCAACTAACCTACCACGAAGAGGGGAGTCCTCGAAAAGACTTGATACTGAAGAAAAGACGGCCACGGAGGAGGAGGAAGAGGATGGAGCAGTAACGGACAGAAGGAATCGTAAAACCGCCTCGCTTGGGAGGGGACCGGAAACCGGGCTGTCTGGGAAGACCAACCAACGACATGCGCCACGCCTTCCTTCCTACACTGTCCGCAGCCCCAGAGCTTCAGCGGCCTAGATGGGCACAGCCACTTCCTTCCGGTAAAAACACGCCTCCTCCCTTGTAACAGAGGAACGTCGCTGCGTAAAAGGTCAGACGTGCCGGTTTGTCGAATGATAACTTCCGGGATCGCGTGCCTCGGCCCGTCCTTCCGAAACAGCTTCTCGTTTTTTGAGTTTTCCAGAACGAGGTTAGGAAAGCTTAGAGAGGGTTTCCCTCATATAAATGGATGAGGGCATTTGCTTCAATATCAAGAGCGTAGAGTCCTCCCGACGGGATTTACGCCTGTTTGCTTGCCTTGTAAACTCTATGGTGCGATAGAAACAAACGGAAGGGAAATCCTAGCGCGGCCTGAATTTCGACAGCCCCGAACTGCAAAGCGGTAGCAGCAGCGGCACCGCCGAGGAGGCGGCGGCGGCCGTGGACGGAGGGCGGTCGAGGTGGGGGAAATCCTGACCTGTTACTCTCCGGCACGCGGGGCGCAGAAGTGTAAGAGCATCCTTGTCATTTCCCCGCCCGCTTTTTCCTGCCCAGAATGTGCGGGGTCTCTAGCCCCTGCCATGAAACCATGCCATTTAATGGGCAGAGTCATTCTTGCTATTAGGCGGCTTCCTTTATTGCAGAGGTCTTCAAACTTGGCAACTCTAATAAAATGAAATTCAATGGTGAAAAGAGTAAGGTTCTACACCTAGGCAACAAGGACGAAATGCACAGGTACAGTATAGGTGGTACCTTGCTCATCAGTAGTAACTGTGAACGGGATCTTGGAGTCTTAGTGGACAACCATTTAAATATGAGCCAGCCGTGTGCAGCAAATGCCAAAAAAGCCAACACAGTTTTAGGCTACATAAACAGAGGGATAAAATCAAGATCATGTGAAGTGTTAATACCNCCCTTCCCTGATTTTATGTGAGCCGCCCTGAGTCCCCTCAGGGAAAAGGGCGGCCTACAAATTTCAATAAAATCAAAATCAAAAAATCAATGAGATAAGATAAAACCGATTTTGTGTCTCCAGTCCAACTTATGGATGAGGTTTGGTTCTATGGTTTCACGGTTCTGGGATTTTATTGTTGTTGTGAGCTGCCCAATGTTATGTTTTAAGATGGGCAGCCATATACTGTAAATCTTATAAGTTCCTTGGTTCTGAAATATGCAAAATGTGGTTTGACATACTTTAAGAGTCCAATTGTGGCCTAGCTTCACAATCAGGAGGCTGTGAGTTCGATCCTAGGTAGTGGCAGATCTCTCTCTCTCTCTGGGCACCATGAGAAAACATCTGCTGCGAACTCTGCATTAGCGACAGGAAAGGCATCCAGCCAGTAAATACTCAGCTCCATTCAGTTGCCCCGACTCCACCCGGATGCAAGGGTTTAAGGGGGTCATTAAAATATTTTTAAAAATTGCTATGATTTGTAGATTACATGTCATCATGTTCTTATTTATTCCAAAACATTTGGTTCAATAAAGAATAATTTGATTGTGTTACTGCAGCCACATCAAAGAATCTGGCTGGAAGAGCAATATTGAGACCTATGTAGTATTGTTTCTTCTTGTTACAATGTATGTCAGGTTAATTTTCTTGCCACTGTTCTTTATGTATTGAAGTTAGCAGCTCAAAAACTATGAGTGTGGGAAAAAGTTGAAATTATGGAAATATCTTTTCATTACTGTATTTTTTGGAGTATAAGACGCACCTTTCCCCCCAAAAAAAAGAGGGCGAAAATCTGGGTGCGCCTTATACACTGAATACATCATTTTTCGCCTACTGAAACCTCGCCCCCTTTGCAAAAATGGATGTGCAGAGGGTTTGGGAGGCTTGCAAAGTGCTCCTGGGGGCTGGGGAGGACAAAAACAAGCAAAAAACGGGCCGTTTTTGCTCGTTTTTGCCCACCCCCACCACAGGAGCACTACAAGACTCCCAAACCTTCTACATGCCCCCCCTTTTTTTTGCAAAAAAACCAGCCCACTTTTGCAAAAAACAGCCCATTTTTGCTCTTTTTTGCCCCCCACCCCAAAGCCCCCAGGAGCACTCTACAAGCTTTCCAAAGTTCTGTATGCCCCCACTTTTTGTGCAAAAAACAAGGTGTTTAGAGGGTTTGAGAGGCCTGCAGAGTGCAAAAACGTTTTTTTTTTAAATTTACCTCTTCAAAACCATGATGCATCTTATACTACGGTGCATCTTATAGTCCGAAAAATACAGTATATTTCCACTGATTAAAAACCAACTACCCTTCTTTTTTTAAAACAATCCTCAGAGCTAAGCTCAATTTGGTTGTCTTGCCTAGATTGCTGGATGAACCAAGCCATCCCAGCTCATAAATAAAGCCATTTTTAGAAATGGCTTAGCAACATACGGGAACCAACCCAGTTTTTTTATCCATTTGATCTACAGCAGAGATGAAGAATCAGACCTCTGACATCTATGATTTCATTTCCTAATGTTTTTATTTTAATTCTCTTATCAGCTTGCCCTCTCATGTAACCCAGCAAGAGGTATTGGGAGGCAGACTGTGTCCATTGTTAGAGAGTTAACATCCAACATCGCATCACAGATTAAATCTCACCTTTTTTATTGGTGGTGAAGTATTTGGAGTCTGTCATGATTTCGGTTTCCTATTGTACCTAGAGAGGGAAAAGCACACAATTAAAGAAATCTGCACCTCTTTTCATGGCAAATGCATTTGTGACTGCTTTAAAACAGTCGTTTCGTTATCTGCTTCAAACTGTAAATCTATTAGTTCCACAGAATAGTAAATAGTATTCAAGATATTTTTAAAACCCCAATATTTTAATAACCTTTGGTATGACAATCATTCCAAAGAAAATTAATAGGTCAAATAATGTTAATAATCAACTGTAGTTTTTTTTTACTGTGAGGCTTCAGGCTGAGTTAAACTAATAGCCCTTTCTAATATCTGATGATCCTAAGTTGCAAATTGACAAATGATCATTATTATGGTAATAAAAGGTCTTCAATGAGTGTCCTGATACATTTTATCTATAATATTTAAAGGTAAAGTTTCCCCCCAAACATGTGTGTTATTCGTTCCTGATCTAGGGGGCGGTGCTCATCTCCGTTTCAAAGCCGAAGAGCCAGCGCTGTCTGAAGTCATATCTATGGTCATGTGACCGGCATGACTAAACGACAAAGGCGCAAGGAACGCTGTTATCTTCCCACCAAAGGTGGTTCCTATTTTTTTTACTTGCATTTTTACATGCTTTCAAACTGCTAGGTTGGCAGAAGCTGGGACAAGTAATGGGAGCTCACTCTATTACGTGGCACTAGGGAGTCGAACTGCCAAACTGACGACCTTTTTGATCGACAAGCTCAGGGTCTTAGTCACTCAGCCACCACATTCCTTTTATCTAGAATATTAAGTAATCATTAATATTGAAGAGTATGTACCAGGAAAAACAATGCAGAAAGGGGAAAGTGACTCTCTAAAGATATGAAGCAGTTTTTATGCACAGAATTATATATAGAAATACATTTCACTTCTTTAAGTATAGAAGGTGGTAAAGTCAACCATTGACCTGTGTCTCAAGTTATTGAGGATTGTTCCTAGGAAGCCTCTCTATGCATCAATTCTGAAGTGCACCTCAATTCTCTGAGCCACTCCAGGAGATGGAAGTGCAAGAAGAGATGCCTAGAGCACCATCACAGGAAGATAAAGAGTGACTTAGGCAGGGAAGGCTTGGAACATTTCCAGGGCCATAGCAAAGGGTAGTCATCCTATCTGGTGGATACAAATTTCGTGGATTTGTAGGATCAACCTGGGGCCCAGTCTTGTGATGCACCCACATCATTGCATTTTGAAGCAGCTGTAACTCCTGGATGGTCCTGGATGATCTTCAAGAGTAGCCCAGTATCCAATTGTGAGGTGACTAAAAGCATGGGTGGCACCTGAGTGGTCAAGGAAAAGGTGCAACTGTGGCACAAGGTGAATCTTGTGACTATTCACAAAATTAAGGCCCTCTCGGTTATAAGTGCCACCTATTCTAAGTGCAGTACAGTAGTTGCAAGTTTAGGAAGACCCCAAGTTATGCATCAGTCTTGAATGGGAAAGTGCAACCTGTCAACGTATTTTTCCATTCCAAGAGAGTAGCTCCTCCAACGGGAGTAGGGAATACACATGTAGGATATAGCACCTTCTGCTCGTGTGTTATTGTTCTGACCTAGGCTTCCTGATACAGTAAAAAGGACACACACTTAGTTCCCAAAACCCTCTTTTTATTTCAAAGGCTGTGAATTATGTTCATTCACACCCCATAATGTTTCCCAAATAGATGCAAAGGGTCCTACAGTAGGCTGCCAAAGTCTTTCGGGATAAGGTTGATAAGCACCCACCTTTATCTTCCTTGAAATGCTGCCAAAGACTTAATTGGTAATTAGCCTGGCAAGGCCACATGGAGCAAAGAGTCAAAACAAAGAGCTTCAGAAGGTAAACTGACCAGCATGAACCAAGTTGCTTCCTGCAAAAGCTCACGTGCCTTTGCTCCTCCTTTATGTCCTATGGGAGGGGCCAATCACCTCCAAGTCTTACTCCTAAGTCATCCTTTCTGTCTTAACTGTTCTTGCCTTCTGGCAGCTCTGCGCATGCGTGCACTGGGAACAGGGGGAGCCTGTTCCTCTGCCTCACTGATTTCCGGCTCTGGAGGCTCCAGAGGCAACACTTAACTCCCAGATGTCCTTGGCCCCTCTCTCTGCCTCTGACGCAGAGCCCTTGTCCGAGTCTTCCCCAGACTCCAGGACTGCCCCATGTT